GCCTGGGCAATCTTTTCCTCTGTGACCGTGACCTGCTCCTCCTTCTCCTGGGACTGGGCAATTTTTTCCTCTGTGACCGTGACCTGCTCTGCACCATCGTCGGTCTTTTTTGGGAGTTTGAGTGACTTTCTGAAGTCTAAAGCTTGTCCATGTCAGACAGCCCAGGGGCCAGGACGTCAGACTTCGGGCAAGGAACTCTTCTTCTGAAATCATGAGCCGAAGCAGCGCGCAAGAGGCTGTAAGTGCATACAAGTATACAGTGTTTCCTGATGTGCTGTTATATATATATACACACCCAAAACCTCCACTGTGGTCCCCTGCTTTTGTCTGCTTTGCCGTCATCTCCATAGCTGCCTGCAACATAAAGCGGAAGAGGTGGCCGTGCAAATAGAAGATATAGCCCCGGAGGACAATCATGTCTGAGGAGCGGCTGTACTCTGGAGGTGTATATATATATATATGAATATATATATATAGATACACTAATCTTTCCTGCCCCATCCACATAAAAAAAATCCTTGCTACTCCCGTTTGCTCACCAATCCCCACCTTCTCCTGTGCTTGCTTGGGAGCAGCCGGTTTGCCCTGGGCAAATGCAATGACATGGCCATATGTTGTGCTTGGGAGACACGCTGGTGTTGTTCAATAGGAAGGAAGACTCAAAGCATACTCACCCTGCCTTGTGAACACCACAGCACGTGCAGGCGGCACCGCTGCTGAGCTTCAAGCGAATAAACGCCTCCACTACCTTCGGTTTCAACCTTTCAGACTTCTGTCCTCCCGCGATCAACTGGGCATTCATATCCTTCACAGTCAATAAATTGGCTTCGTTGGAAAGTTTGGCCCATTCCACATGGGCGGCCATCGCAGCTTCTTTGGTCACGAAAGTGTGGGACCCCGATTCACCAAGATCCACTCTCCATTTCTTCCATCCCTTGTGGTAGGTTAGGCTTGGCGGTGCTCCCAACAGAGAGCACGCCTCAATGGACGTATTGATCAGCTCCTGGGCTCGTCCACCACCCAAAAAACACATATTATACACTATATATATACATATGTCAAATTAGGTAAGACCTGTGACTCATTCCTTTATTGACTTTTTTTGCATCCTATTGATTTCTTCTATCTCTCCTGAAGTTTTGCTGTCGGCTTCAAAGATGAGAAGATCGACATCAAGACACAGCCTACATTGCCAATCAGCATGCCGTTCCCGCAGCATTCATGCAAGTTGGCACTCGGAGACCCGGAGCAATCGACAAGTGGAACACCCGCGGCGGCCGCCAAGTCCTGGGCGGCTTGTCTGCTGTGGGGTTGAATGCCTTGGAGATTAGAAGAAAATCAATCTAGGGTGCACGGATATAGGAGGACACTGTCTTCAAAATTCTGCTAAAGCGTAGAGCAAGTTTCCTTGTGGACCGGAAATCCCTGGATCGACATTTTCTCGATGCCGGTTAACCATCGATTTCGCGATGTGATCATGATTCTCCGCGTTGAAGTCTTTGTAAATGCCGGAAAGCTCTCCTTACTTCTTACTTTACATCACAATGAACCAGCAAATCTGAAGTTCTATATCTTCTATTTACAGGGTCCTGTTGGGCAAAATGGACAAATGCATAACAACTTCAACCAATCCCAGATTAGAATCGTCGGAGCCTGCCATGAACCTGACATCCGGGTCCTGTCCCACCGCAACTCCTCGTGTCACCCTCTCAAACTTGGGAGAGTTAGGATCAATTCCAAGCTGATTCAAATACTTCTCGTAGTGCTGTCGCTCTTCATGCGACAACAGGGGCAACCAATCATCGGATTCAGGATTCATCGCCTCAATCGATTCCAAGGTCGCCGTAGAGTTTGTGTTGGCGCATTCACGCATCTCCTTTTTGAGCATGTATGGATCCTGGAGCCACAGGCTATCCTCAAGGGTGACCGGCGGTTGGGTCTGAAACTGTGCACGCAGGTCTTTGTAGACTTTGAGAGGGTCGCCCACAACTGTCCAAAGCTCTGGTAGGATCAGGATGTCATACCTGCAGCGTGATTACTCCTGCACAGACTACAGAGCATATTTTAAACAACATCCCTATCAGCTTCCAGACCACCGGAAAGACTGTTACAGCCACCAGCACAGTTGAGGCACACATGCGGCCGAGAATTTGCCCTCACAGCAACATCAGCTCCGGTTGCGTGAATAGTTCCCACATGCATGTAGCCACACTCAGCGGCCTTCGCGGCCAGGTACTCGCTGTCAAATCCTTTCACGTTCCTCAAAAGTTGAAGGCTGAGTAGAAATCCACTAGTCAATGCAACACATGTCCCATCAAATAGAAGATATATATGTATATACACATGTATTCTTCTACAGTTCTTGGAGAACACATCTGCAGCCTAGGGTCTCGTGTACCAACATGGGTGTCCCAATTGAAAAGTGGTGTCGGAGCCAAACCAGCATCAATTTATGGCTCTTCCCTTGCTGCTTGGCTTTGGTCCCCATGGACGACCAGTGGACACACATGCTCCCACTGACGTCCACAATTGACAAAGGCAGCTTGCACCTTAAGCGATGACGGTGGCACAGGGCCGACTTCTCAAGCTCAATGCTTTTCAAATAATTCCAAATTGGTTCTGCTGGTTCCTGTTCGGTCTTCTCGATCTTGTCGATGGTTTCCCGAGCTTCCTGCGTCAGGAAGCGCATAATGTCTGCGTGCTGGCACACCGTCTCTGAAAGCCGGGGCTCCACGAAGTGCCTAGCCTTCGCCATGATTTCCACCTGGTATGCACTTTGGAACGCTTGCCGTCCATCGGGTCCAGAAAGAGCTGCATTAAGCATAGTGAGAGCTTCTTCCATGCAGCCGTAGCCAGAAAACCAAGTGCTCACTGGCAAGCGCTCACATTCGTCAAAGAATTGTGAGTCGCCATGCGCTCTGCACCATTCAACTGCCTTCTCTGCCCACTTAAATGAGGCCAGAAGGGAGTCGGGGAGTGCCGTCATGGCTGCCATCGCAGGTTTTGGGCTTTGTTCCTTTTTTCTTCTATTCAGTTTGTTCACTTGGAACATGATTTCTTCTATCTTTGTTGTGAGAAATATGTGTTGCTTTGCAACTGCCCCAACTCAAGCAGTACTATTGAGGTTCATCATACGCACACATTATATATATAATATAGATATCGATGAACGCCTTTCGAACTGAATACTCCATTTGTCTCCTGGAAGGAAAATGGCCGATCAGATGCATAAAGACCAAGAACTCACACCTTGGACCAAACCATATCTATAATATATATTTATATATTTTAAAAAACACAATATCCTCCTAGAAAAATCTAGACTGTATCTACTGCCAACTCGTGTTTAGTTTGTGAGAGCACCGCCATGTCTACAAAGGTTTGGGCGGTTTGTTTTGGTCGGGTGCCTGCCAAATGTAGACCGAGTCTTCAACGCACTTCCAGGCCTGGGCCGTGAGACATGGTCGCACCTTTTCATATATATATAGAAGAAATACAGAACGAGGGTATAGAAGAGAGATGGCATTCAAGTGTGATGGCATTCAACCTACTTCCGATGGCCTCCAAGCTAATAGCAATCCAGTTGCGATGGCCTCCAAGCTAATAGCGATAGCCTCCAACCTACTATATATATATATATATATATAGCGGTTACTAGCGATGGCCTGCAACCTATACAATAGCAATGAACCTTCAAAGTAGAGAAACCAACCGCTTTTGCCACATCGTCCAAGGCCAAACCCTCAGTAGCCTTGAATCCTGCTCTTTCTGCAGGGACCGTGGCCGCAGGGTTTCCCAATACACTATTTGTCTTTGCATACCCTGGTTCCTTAGTGAGTTTCTTCTATTTGAGGGGTAAACTCAAAACTCAAATCTTCTATATATATATATATATATTTGGAAACTTTGTCTGATATCTTGCTATAACAAGCTACCGGACTAGTGGAAAGCTCACAAAATTTCACAATAACATGTCTCTAGTCAAGGATGCCTATTCCTCTTACTCATGTCTTGAGCAAAAGATGAAACACGATCTTGCAACGCTGCTGCAAACAAACACCCGCTCCACTCTCCGGTCGCATATATAAGCTTCCGCAGCAGTCTTCGCTGGCCGGGCGCCTCCTCTCGTGAGTTCTGCAAGTATGTTTGCAAAAGGCCATGAAGAACATGCCAGGAACCCTCCAGTCCAAAGAAATCTACGGTGGTTGGTTGCTTCCTGCGAGATGAAAAGCAATATGTGCGCTACGTAAATAGAAGATATTGATTTATATATGCATAAAAGACATCTGACAAACAAATACTCTAAATGTAGCCACCACTAAAACCCAGCAGGCTAATCAAAAAGCTCAGAATATAGAGGAAGGAGTCCTGCTAGCCCTTTCCCCTCAGTTTCAACTTCTCCTTCTCCGGCTTGGCTTCAGACGTCCCCGGCTTGGCCTGAGCTATGCAGTGAGAAGGCCTAGGTTCCTTCTGTTGGCTGTGGAGTTTGCTGTTGTTGTGTAAATGGAAGATATTATCCTTGGAGGGTTAATACTAAACGTACATCTTGTCCAATATACGCCACATGTATAGAAGATATTCATCACTCATAAAACACCACACCCAATTGTTACACCTTCAGCGCAGTCGGCGATTCTGCTGGCTCTTTTGACCCTTCTGGCTCCTAAACTATGAAGAAAGGATGCCTGCTAGCCCCACTCCTGCAATTCCAACCTCTTCCCCGGCTTGGCTTTAGACGTCCTCGGTTTGGCCTGAGCTACGCAGTGAAAAGGCCCTAGGTTCCTTCTGTTAGCTGTGGAGTTTGCTGTACATGTGGTCCTTAATGTACTTTCCAGTATATAGCTGGTTCAACCGCCTTCAGCTTCTGTTGGCTCAGGCTGCCCTTCTCAAACTTCTTTCGAGCTTCAAAGACATCCAGCTGACACTTTGCAAATGTCCCAAAACCATTGGCAGGGTCACCCACTTCGAGTCGTCCTCCATATCTTGGGTTGCTTGAGCTTCCGCAACAGTCTTCCGTGACTCGGGCACCTGGGCCGTGTGACATGGTCTGATTAAATAGAAGATATACCCAGGAAGCATTGAGTAGTCACAGACACACATATATATATATTACACTCCGGCTTGCCTACCTTCACCTGCTACGCCGTAAACTCTATGTTGCTTTGCTTATCTCATCACACCCTTTGTTTCTTTCCCGCTTTGCTGCAGCAAAAAAACACACACTCCCTTCTCCAGTTGCTGAGATTCCGCAGCAGTCCTCGCGGGCCCGGGCACCTGGGCCGTGAGACATTATCTAATTAAATAGAATATATTCCCAGGAAGCACTGAGTAGTCTCAGACATTATATATACATGTTGCAATAAATCAGGACAACGTCAACAAAATCTGTTCTTATAACATAAAGACATATATATATATATATATAACTGTATATCCCATCTCTTGTTTCTCCCCTCGTCCTCTCCTCTAACTCCGACGTTTGTGTTACCTGTGTTTTCCACTGAGCGGAGTGAGCCATTAGACGGCGCTAGGAGCCATTTTGGCTCCTCAAGCACAGAACACGGGCTGGCTATCAGACCCTATTCCAGATCTTACAGTCACAGGCAACCAAGCCATCAATGAAAAACCCTGACACAAGAACAAAGTTAAAAACAACGCACATATATAGAAGATATGTTTGAGCTATCTCAACCCCACGTGACCGACAGGATCTCTAAATGTATGCACTCGAGCTGAGTGAGCTATTAGGTGGCGCTAGGAGCCTTCTCGGCCTCTTAAACACAAAACGGGCCGGCGACCTGGCCCCATTCCCGATCCCGCGGTGACCCAGAAACATTGTACACATAAATAGAAGATATGGTTCATCTGAAGCAGAAGCACGGCTGACATTTACAAATCACATCCTCCA